CCCCCCCCCCCCCCCCCCGCCAGTTGTCTCCATACTGGGCGCCGCACGCACGACGCTCCTATCCTCTTGCATTGCTGCTTTAGGTGTAGCTTACTGCGAAATACACGCATTTGTTCCTTTTCTCTTTCGCCATCGCGCTTCTACCCAGGATACTCTAAAACAACCTGCGCGGGCGGGCGGGGGGGTGGGGGTGGGGACGCGAATGACCTCCCTCCCCCCTCTCCCCCGCCCCTGCTGGAACCTCTCGTCTACTCAGGTGCCTCTGTTGGCTTGCTCTCCAACCCGCCACTTGTTGCGTCTGTCTTGCTCTCTGCTGTCTTCGCCTCTTGCGCCTCAGAGCTGCAAAAAGAAGAAAACGTCAAACCATCCACAAGTGACAAGGGATGTTCCGAAGGTTCGATGGTTAACACATACGTATTCCCAGGGGTCCCGTGGGGTTACCGAGGATGATGGGGGGGGGGGGGGAGAGAGTGCGGGACAAACTGCAAAACAATATCAACAATCCGACTGCAAGTCGGCACGGTATTCTGGGGCACACATCGCACGGGCAAAGGCGTCGTGCCAACAACAATTAGATTTAGATTTTGTCTATAAAACCCTACCGGCCGTTCCTGGGAATGTTTTGAGCTTTGCTTCAGCGGAGCGAACAAAAGGCGTCGTGCCAACAACAATTAGATTTAGATTTTGATGAGTAAAAAAAACCTACCCCTACGACCGTTCCTGGGAAGGTTCTGAGCTTTGCTTCAGCGGAGCGGAAGAATGACGCAACTGTCAACAATCGCTGCTTCATAGGCCTTCGTTTCTGGACGTGCTCGTACTTAAAACGCCGCTGTAGACGCAGATATTGATACAAGTAGTACTTTGAACATTGACTCGTACATGGTCATGTGTTGACATTTCCGAACTTGTACTATTAACGTCGCTGCAGACCCAGAGATTGATAGTACTATGAACATTGACTCGTACATGGTCATGTGTTGACATTTCCGAAAGTGTACTATTAACGTCGCTGCAGACCCAGAGATTGATAGTACTATGAACATTGACACGTACATGGTCGTGTGTTAAAATTTCCGCAACAGGAAATAACGGTGGTTGCTGTACCTACGTGGGCCGTGCCAACAACAACCTCGGAAAAGCTGTCTTCACGCCTCTACAAACATACCGACGGTGTCCAACTTTCCACACACAGAAAAAGAGAAGCGCAAAACGCCTTCCCGCGCACCAAACCCCGCTTCATCGGTCACCCTGCTAGATAGCGCGGCCGATGCTCATCGAAAAAGAAAAACACATGACCACGCCAACATACATGAATACATGCAGCCGAAAGATAAATTCAACGGTCTTCTCAGTCGGGATCCAAGCTGTGCCTACGCTGGAAAACACCAAAAGCGCCCCCCCCTCCCTCCCAGCGACAAGACTGCGTGTGCGGCTTACGTGTCCAGCGAGGAAATCATTCTAGACCTGGGCATATATCCCAGTGCACCCCCCCCCCCCTTCCCCTGAAAATTTGATGATCTTCGGAAGACCTTGACCTGTTCCCTTGATTGGACCAGTCAGCGCGACCGAAGCTACCCATACTTACCCTGCCCCCTTCGCACAGACGTCATCACACACTTCCCCTCCTCATATCATGACAAAGACGATGACAAGCACCAACAACTACGGCATGCGTTTACATGAGCATCCCCCCCCAACTGGAAACCCAAAATTCGCACACACAAATTGATCGACCACCTCCTCCGCAGCGGGGGGGGGGGGAAGATTACCCCTCCCCCCCAGCATTTGGAAACCCAAAATTCGCACACCACCTTTGGTTGAACGCCTCCTCAATAGCACAATGGGGTGTTGCCACCGCTCTCTCCTGTGCCGGCGCTAGCTCTGCCTCGTCCCAAAAGTCCTTCTCCTCCTCATCGAGGAGCATTTCTTGCAGGGTCTGGCGCGTGGTCGGGAACGGCATTACCTCCGCGTCTTCTACCTCTATCTGCACCCCGATGAAGAACGCCTGCCACGATTGACGTCGGAGGGGGGGGGGGGGGTAATTGTCTACATAACACCCACATTTTACCGGCCAACCAATTTTATTGAAAACCTCACCTGGCCA